TACACATCATTTTTCATTGACCAGCAGTTAAAGTGCTTAAACAGCTGGCAAATTTTGTTTGTAGAAGTAGCACCAAGACAGCTGAAGCTAAACTAATTCAAATTACAAGTTGCAAGAAAACTGAGAAAAACAGAAGGACAAAAAAGTGAAAAAGTCTTCATAAAATACAGCAAAATATGGTTGAGTATCAGCTGCCAAAGAATTCACTTTAAAAAAGGCTTTGATGACTAAATATTCAAAAGAGCTCTTTCTAAAGAAAAATCTCAACTCCATTATCCAGGAAAAAAAAATAAACCAGGGAATTTAGGAATGCTATATACATCCTTTTGAGTTAAATAAAAGGAATCAGCATTTCTTGTCTCCCTGAAGTTCCTGGAAAGAAAAGCCCACGCAAGAAAAACACTATGTTACACTGTTTCGAATTACTAAACGTTAAAACTGAAGGGAGAGTGTAACACACATTCATTTTATAACACATAACTAGACTCTAACATTCCTTCCAAGTTAGAAATTACAAGCTCAGATGATAAGATTTTCATAGCTAAAACACTGCCATCAGTGTTTTGGAGATATAAATTATTCTAAAAACTATTTAACTGTATGAAACAAAATTTGGTCGCCACCAAAGAATGGCTTTTGCAAAGCCAAATAAGCAGCTCCAAACTACCATCACCTCCAAGAGACAATATTTAAGCACATTTAGTGCCATTTAAGTACATTAGTGCCAGAGATAGAGGATGGTTATTGAGAATGAACTTATTAAATATTTAAAACGAGCTCACAATTCCTACTGTCTAAATATTCACCCCCTCCTTTCCCCCCCCCCCAAAAGAATCAGCAGAACACGATGAAGTTCAACTCCTCGTGTTTAACTCACCAATAAGGAGATGCCCAAGGAAAACAAACATCTCCCCAAGGCAGGTCAGGTTCAGCCTCCCCCCCTCCTCCTCCGGCCCGGGTCGGTTTCGGTCGGGCTCGGTTGGGTTTCCGGGTCCCCAAGGGCTCTGCCCCTGCCCGGCCTTCCCCGGACCGGAGAACCGCCCTGGAGCGGCGGGTACAGCCGGTGGGGCCCTCCCGGAGCAGCTCCTCGGCGTCGGCTTGGCCGTGACGGCGACGGGCTCCGAGCACACGCGGCCTCTGCTCCGCTCTCCTTCCCCCCAAGATGGAGGAGCCGCCCTCAGCCCGCTCCGCCCGGGGAGCGCCCGCTCCGCCCCGGCCCCGCCGCGGCTGGACCCAAGGGCTTCCCCGGGGAACCCGCGTGGACTCGCCGATTCCTCCGGACCGGGCCGTGCCCGCGCCCTGCTCGTCCCCTCAGAGCCCCCCCCTCCTCCACCCCGGGCTGCCCGCCCGCCTCCATTTTAGAGCGAGCCCAAAGGCGGCCGCGCCGCCTCTCCCGCGACCTCCCCGCCGCCGCGGCGGCCCCGCTCCCGGTCCCCTCCCGTCCTGGTGCTTCCCCACCCACCTCCCTCCCTCCCTCACTCACCGCGGGCAGGGGATGGGGGTCTCGCCGCCGCGGGTCTCAGCCGAGCCGCGCCGCCATTTCCTCCTCGCACCGCGGCAGCGCTGGGCGGGGCCGCTCCGCCCCCACCGACACCGAGATGGCGGCGCGGGGCCCAGAGCACCGCCCCTGGCGCGCGGCTTCCGGAGGACCTGGGCGGGAGAGCGGCGGCACCTCAGCCCCGGCCCCTCAGAGCGCTGCTGCCCGGGGGCTCCCCGCGCCCGCACCGTGCCCTTCTGCCGTCACTGCCGAGAGCGGGAGGCCCGGCCCGTTTCCCCTCACACCTGCTCCCGGTTCTCTTATGGCAAACGCGGGCTAATTTCACCTCCCGGGAACGGCAGCTTTAAGTCATTACACGTGAGGGTGCGCGGGCCGGAGGGAAACCACACGGTTTTATCGGTGCCAAGCGGTGTCCGCTCACGATGAATTCCCTCACGGGGTGAACGTGGCAGCGAAGATGCTGCAGAACCCACCTGGCTCAGGGCAGCTGTGCTCCCCGCCTGTGCTCACTCCACTGGGGTTTGCTTTGGTTTTCCTATCCTACTCCATCCGTTTTAGAAAACCAAATGGCAAATTGCTGCTGCAACGCTTTCCTCTGGATCCAAGCTGTGGATTGATGTGAAGGGAACGTTCTCTGGATCTGCCCATCCAACGCATGGAGCCTTCCTAGGAAACGCCCGTTAACTGTGATTTTACTGCCCAAACCACTCTCCAGGATCCAAGCTGGATTGATAGCTGTAGCTATCAATAGCTACAGAGAGTTAACTGCCATTTACATGTTTTGTTCCTTTTGTCACCTTTTGGGACATTGGCACCCAGAAACACCCACACCTCGTGGTCTCTGAGGGGTCCTAAGGACGACAGGAGACCCCCAAGGCCACAAGGACACACCTGAACTGCGCACCTGAAGAGCCTTTAGGCAGCTGGATGTGTGAGGTTTTGACTCCAATCCTGCACATTTTTCCTCATGAGTTGGTAACATGGATTTCAATTGGATTCCAGACAGGTGCAGTGTTTACAGAGATGGATTAAGGAATGCAAACACGAGGAAACAAAAACATATTTCGTAATAGTTCTATAGAATTACAGGAGTCTATCGAGTAACCTGATTACTTCTTTCAGAAATCTAAATTCACAAAACTTACGGTGGTAAAAGCTCAGGGTGATGCTGGAAAAGCTGCTATTGGCATAGTCAGCCCCTTTCTCAACCTGTAAAACTGGGCAGTTTTAATACTTACTTCACCCAGGAACACCTAGAGGTAAAAACCCCCAACAGATTCCTGTGCAAAAGGAGAAGACACCACGATTATAGGCAAGCAGGAGTTCAGGTTTTGTTCTGCCAGCTCCAGAGCTGCAATAAATGAAATCACGTGGAGGGGAAATACCTTAGGGTTTGGTAGATCGAGCTGCACTGTGACTTATGCTCTGGAAAAAGCTAATAACATGTTGTTAATGCACAAATTTTGCATCTGGGGGCTGCTCCAACCCAGGAATTACACGCCAAGGGAAATGGAACATGCGAAAAAAGGAATTGCACACCAGCAGCAAAAAGAGGATGTCTGCCATAGGGGATCCTGCCATGAAAAAGGTATTAAATTCCTCTTACACACATTTAGTAAGAGGCTTACACCCTCTTAAGGTAATGCTGATGCACTTTGCACACCCACTAAACACCTGAGCACTTTACACTTTCAACCACAAAACCCCTACACTTTTGTGTTAAAGCCCAGGTTGGAGGATCTTCCTTTGCTGACTAAACACCTGTGTTACCTCTACCGTCAGCACCTCAGTTCTTTCCCTGCCTCATTCACTTATGGGTCCCTCCGAACTCAGGATACTCTGTGATTAATAAATAAATAATCTATTACATTGTAAGTTTTCTCAGTTTCAATGTAAGCACAATTGTAATGAAAGTGGGTTTTGGAAGCTGGGCTTTATTGCACAGTCACAAAAACAAGAGTGAAAAATGCACAATCATGTCCACATTCCCAGTCTGTGTGAGTGAAATTGCATTTTCCTCAAGGGTATTATTTGCAGCATTTCACACATAAAAGTATATATTTTAAGCCTGTTCTCCCTTTAAATTTACAAATTAAGGTGTTGTTGCAAAGTGTGGACTATGTAAATTTTTCTTAAGAAAGGATGTTCTTTGATGTTTGATCTTTGAATACTTTCAAGCCTAAACAACAAGAAAGGAGATTTAATCCGTGAAAGAGAAAGCAATCAACAACTCCAAGTGACGTCCAGGTGTTAGAAAGACAAACTACTTGTTGATAGAATTGCCTTGTTAAGGTTTAGGGCATGACCAGCTTTAGTGATCTCAGACCTGGGGGGAGGTTAACGAGGCTTGGGAAGGATGTACCACTGACAGTGGACACAAAGAATGCAGAATTTACGGGCCACAAGGACACCTGGCAGAATTCCCAAGATAAGGAAAAAACTGATAAAGCCAACTCAGCAACTGTGCTAAACCAGCTCCAAGTGGGTAAAAGGTGATTCTGGCACGGGCAGATCATGACCATCGACCCAAGAAACCTACTGACCCAAAAGATGAGAAGGATAAGCACTGCAGTAATTAGTATGAGAAGTGACTCATTAACCAACAGAAGGTAGAATATTAATTAATAACTGTGTAACTTGTACCCAATGAACACTAAATCCTTTGTTTGCTAAAATGTGTAAATAGTAAAAAGTCGTGATAGCTGGCGTGCTGGCTTTGTGGATTTGCCACCCAGCACCCGTTTCTGTGCAGAGCTGTAAATAAATCAAACACGTCGCCTCTGCCTGTGGATTGGCCTTTGCACAGCGGGTGAAACAACCCATTTTGGCAGCAGCGCGTTTTCTGCAGAGTGACTCACAAACCCGCAGTGGGTTCACCAGCTCCTCAGCAGCCGCTACACGTTTGACGGAGATCATCGATGCGAGCCCTCAGCCCACCGTTATCAACACGGGCGGAACCTGGCGGGACCGCACAGGATATCGCAGGCCGTGCCCACAGAGACCCTCTCCCCGGCAGACGGATCGCGCCGTGTCCGTGCAGGAGCCGCCACCGCATCACCCGGCGGTTCCTGCGCACTCCCGGCCGAGCACGGACCGGACCAGCCTCTACCTCAGCTGTTGGCGGCGGGGCCGCGCTCGGAGCGGGCTCCCGGGCAGGAAGCGGCCCCGGCCCCTCAGCGTTGCCCCGCGCCCACCGCCCCCGGGCCGCCCATCCCGCCGCGGCCGCTCCGCCCCGCGGCGCCGCCGTCTCTGTGGTACCTGGGCCCGACTCGATGGTCGCGCGTCCTCGCCCCGCGCTCCCCGCGCGCTGATTGGCCGCTGAGCCGCGGTGGCGGCTCTCGCGAGACCTCGCGCGCGCCTGCGGCCCGGCGGAGGCGGCGGAGGCCCCGCGTTCGTGCGTCGGAGCGGCCCCGGGCGCGCGCGGTAAGATGGCGGCGGGGGGGGCGCCGCGCCGGGCCGGGGGCGCGGGGGGAGCGCGGACCTGCCCCTCACCCTCGCCCTGTCCCTCACTCTGCGGAGGCGCCGGGCCTGTGACGAGCGCGGCCCACCGCTCCCGTGGCCCAGCGCTCCCGTGGCCCGGACTCACGAACGGCCGGGCCGGGCCGGGCTGGAGCGGAGGGGGAACCCCGGGGTCCCCAGCGGGGGTCGGGCCGCGGCAGCAGCAGCAGCGGTGGCGCCGAGCGGCGGGAGCGCCGTTCCCGCAGCGTGGTTGGGAGCGGCGGAGCGCGGGGCCGGCAGCGATCGCGGCCCCCCCCGAGGCGGGTCCTGCCCCGGCTGTCCGAGTTCCAGGAGCTGGAGAAGGGAGAACCTGTTGGAAGCGGCGGAGGAGGCGATGAGGGTCGCGCTGCCGCTCGTCGGAGAGGGTGATCGTGTCTGAGAGGATGGCGGTGCCTGTTGCTGTTGTTGTTGCCGCCTCTCCTCCCCCTGTCGCTGCCCTGTGGTCGTGACTTGTCAGAGGCAGAAATCGTTAAATGGGCCTTTGGTGAAGTGCTTTGCGTGCGAATCTAAACAAAAATATTGTCCAGAAAAACACCGGGAGACATCAGTTCAGTAGCGTTGACAGGAGAACTTTTGGGGGCAGCGAAGCAGAGCTGGTTGTACGTTCAGTTGTACACTGGGTAAGGTATCGTGGACAGTTTTGTACCTGTACAATGTATGCAGCTTTCCCAGGTTTTGGTGACAATTTAAAGCAAATACTGTTTACATAGGCATTGCTTTACGTGTTTGTCACAGTCTTTCTGGCTGGCTGTCAAACTCTGATTCATTTGTTTCACACGGTGATGCTGCGGGTCCTGTGTGAGTTCTAACCAAGATTTATATGGAATGGTTTTAAGAGTAAGTACAAGGAGGTGGTATTTGAATTTTCTATTCTGAGGTTGCTGAAAGCAGCTTTTAGAGCCTGGTAAATAGATGTGAAAGAGTGCAGGAATGAGGAGGAGAAAAATGTAAACCTGTGGTTTGAGATAAAAGACTCCCTTCTGGATTATTAATTTAAAAGAGCTCATAGAAAGCTCTGAAAAGGGCAGTAACACAGTTCTTACACACATTAAACACATTTCTTCTTGAATCACGTTAAATGAGATGCTTTTCTTTTCTTGTAGTTAGAGTCCAGGATGAGTTATGCAGAAAAACCTGATGAAATCACAAAAGATGAATGGATGGAAAAGCTTAATAACTTGCATATCCAGAGAGCAGACATGAACCGCCTTATCATGAACTACCTTGTCACAGGTAAAAATGAGTGGAGATGCTTGGAGGATCTTAAATAAGTCTACTTTATCAGTCAGTGGGCTAGAATATGGCACTGGATGGAGGGGAATTAAGGGCTTTAATAAACTAGTTATTGCTCTTGGCTTCTCTGAGCAAAGTCCAACTGCTCTGGTGTTCTTTTAGCTGGAAGTTGACAAAGATTCAGATTCTGTGGAACAGAAATAACATTTGCAAACCTGAACTCTTGACTAAAAGAAAGAGAAAACAAAGTGGTTTCTGCAGTGCTGTAAATAAATACGACTTGCTTCTCTGGGATGTCTTTTTTTGTGCCATTAAAACAGAGCTCAAGAAAAGCTGCTGTTGTTAAATAACAGTCTGAAAGCTGGACAGAACAATTATCAGAAGCAAGGTTTAACTGTACAGAAAGATAAACTCTTAAAAGGGAACTGTTAAAATAGTTTGAGACCAGAATATTAACCCCTTCAGCACATGGCCTAACTTCATACTTGGAACACTCCAAACCCCTTGGGAACTGTTCCTGGCAATTAGGCTGCATGCCTAATTCCCAGGAAGTTGTGCTAGGGCGGAGGTGTTTGTATCCATCTACACCCCTGTTTACGTTGGGGTGGAGGTGAAGCCTCTGGGTTGAAGGAAGAGCATCATAGTGGGTGGTGTAAATCAGTTTTGTGTCTAAAAGCATTTAGGGGTTTAAAATAGCTGGTAGAGTGTTAAAAAAATAGGATGTGAGAAACAAAATTCATTTTTCTTGTCTATTTTCTTCTCAGTAAAACTGCCAGATATCTGTAAACAGATCTGGAGTTTGGAGGGTGAAGCAAAACCACCCAGGTTTTGAAAATGTGATTTTAACAATCCCATTTTGCAAGAAGTGCAGTGCTTGATTTAAGTATAAAATAGGCTCCCAAGTCAAGAGGTATCGAACTACAAGTTGCATCCTTGGAGGATGAGGACACATGACTTCAGAATGAATTAAGCATTTACATTTAGGTCTGTGTTGGCTAAATGCCTTCTTAAATAAAGTATTTTTCAGACTTTCAGATTAATCTTTAAACCCCCAAAGTGCATGAGCAACACTCAAATATTTTCATCCAAGCTGATGGGGTTTCTTTTAAAGCGTTTCATAAAACCTATTTTATGGGTAAAACCGTTTCTTTTTCAGAGGGCTTTAAAGAAGCAGCCGAGAAATTCCGGATGGAGTCTGGAATTGAACCCAGTGTTGATTTAGAGACTCTGGATGAAAGAATAAAGATCCGTGAGATGATATTGAAAGGACAGATCCAGGAAGCCATTGCATTGATAAACAGCCTCCATCCAGAACTGCTGGATACAAACAGATATCTCTACTTTCACTTGCAGGTAAGGACAGGTGGCAAACTGTCTTTGTTTTAGAGAGAGTGGAGAAAATAGCGAAGATTTAAATTTAAGAGTATGTTGGGAGGTGTGAGACTGAACAATGGATGCAATTTCAGGTGTTCCTGGCCTTGTTTTGTAGTGATAGGAAACTTTGTGGCATGGTGCAGGAACATTCATATACAGTTATTAACCTGGAAACTTGTAGCAGCAGCTGTGGCCTGTGAGTTACTTCCACTTGCTGTTAGTCTGAATTGCTGCTAGTTCCTGTAGTAACCCATCTTTTCAAATCCTGTTACTCAAAAGCACCAGGTTCCCTTTTTCAGTAGATTTTTGCAGACAAGTTGCTGTTCCTTGTCTCACACATTGAGAATTGACCTCAAACTGTCACGTTAAGGATTAGTGTTTGCCTCAAATTACACGCTAACATCTCGATCTTGCACTCTCGAAATAGTGAGGATTTGTTAATTTGTGTGGCTAATGTTGCTTCCCTGTCTTTCCCGTGTAGCAACAGCACTTGATTGAACTGATTCGGCAGCGTGAGACAGAGGCAGCTCTGGAATTTGCTCAGACCCAATTAGCAGAACAAGGGGAGGAGAGCAGGGAATGCCTGACAGAAATGGAGCGCACGCTGGCCCTGCTTGCCTTTGATAATCCCGAAGAGTCACCATTTGGAGACTTGCTTAACATGATGCAGCGACAGAAGGTAGTGCTTTCTCAAAGGGAATCGATGTCTTTTTATTCCTGTGTTATGAAAATAATGTCCAAATATTTTTGAAATGCTTAGAGAAGGCATATATAGCAGTTTGCAAGAGAAGTGTTTCTTGAGCAACAAAAAAACCTGGTGTTAGGTATTCAAAATGTATTCAACTGCTTGGCTCTTTTCCGTGTTTCCTCCAGGCTCATAATCTGCGGAGCTTTGCCCTGACCATTTCTGAGGAATTAGCACCCTAGGTGTGATCTTCTCAATGTCTGCGTGACTTTAGCGGTGTTAATCTTATGAAAACTATCACTGAACTCCAGTATTTCTTTTCCAGGTGTGGAGTGAGGTTAATCAAGCTGTTCTAGACTATGAAAATCGTGAATCAACACCCAAGTTGGCAAAATTACTGAAACTACTACTGTGGGCTCAGAATGAGCTGGACCAGAAGAAAGTGAAATATCCCAAAATGACAGACCTCAGCAAGGGGACGATCGAAGAGCCCAAGTAAAATGTGTGCAGATGGACATCAAACAATCTTAGTACTGCACAGTATACATTTATATCAGTCTGTGACTGAAATATTTTTACTACAGTACAGCACTCAATTCAGATTTTTCAATGAACATCTAATTTGAAGGGAGAAAAGTCCCTTTTAAATGCTGCAAAAACTGCATTGAAAGGCGCTGTGTCTCTTTGAAAGTCTGACTTAGGCTATGCACTATAATACATTTTTAAAAAAAACAAAACAATTAAACAGGACAGGAAAAATAGCATTTTTAAAAGTACAGAACTCAAGCTTTCTAATTGGCTGCTGATGCCTAGTTTAGTGGCCAGTGAGTTAATATGGAGTTATATTGGCAACTGTTCAGTTCAGTTTAACTGTCTCCTGTTTGAAATGTGTATATAGAACAGTGAATATTTTCTACCTTTAAGTTATAGCCAGATATACATTCCCCTTAAAAGTAACTGGTCAAGTTTTCATCTATAAACTTTGCGGTAAGGTCAACCTTTTGCTTAGGAAATAGTGTACAAACTTGTAAATCATAATTTAAGGACTTTAGGTTTTTGGGGTTTTTTTCTTCCTTGTTTCAGACTTCTTGGTGCTTTATATGGTGAGAGCTATGTTCATAATGGATCAGTGACCCATCTTTTCAGGAGGAGTATTGATGGAAATAAGTTTGTTTTCCTTAATTTTCGTGAATGACCAAAATGGCCCCAGAGGCATTTGAGGGTTTTTGTTGACAGGGGCCTTTCCCCCCCATGTTACATTTGCAGTTGTAGACACTGCAGTGGTTCCAGGTGGCTGATGCAGCTTTGAAGGCCACTGGATGTCTGTAGGATGAAAGACTTGTGCTGGGGAATCAGGTGGTGGGGAGAGATGCTTGTTGAAGCCTCTGATGCATCATCTTGTGCAGGATCTGCCTTCATGCTTGCTGAATTGTAGTTTTAGAGCTACTTGGGCTGTATTTATGCCTTGAACTGAGCAGAGCAGGGCTGTCTAATACCAGAAATTTCCATTTTCTCACTTCTTCCATACCTTTCTGAAGAGATGCAGTTCATCTTCAGCTGTATTCGTTTACTGACTGTCCTCACTCCAGTTAGAATTATAGTTTTAATGTTTTACATGTGAAGTCCAGACTTTCAAGTCAGCAAATTGTAATCTTCTGAGTATGGGATGTTCTGGTCGACTGATGGCAGCGCTGCACACTGGTTTGTATCCAGTGGTGGGAAGCACTAATCTTGCCAAATCCATCTCTAGATTTTTAGGTCTGTATATCAAGTTTTGCTGAGCAAAGAGCGAGCTGATGAGTCAAATAGCTTAACATCACGAGACACTGGCAGTTGTCACAGCAGTCCCATACTGTACATAATCTAGTCTTGTATGGTAGATATTACCCTGTAGAATGAAACTTAGTTTTCACCTAATTTTACTGGAATACTTAATGCATTAAACTGTATAAAGCTTTGCAGATACACCTGGCTTAAGGGAACTAACAAAACCTGTTACTGATTGCATTACTGTGAACACTTTACTTGTGTAGCTATTTTTGGGGGTGGGGGGAAGCCATTGTTTGTTAAGCAGCTATGAGAGATGCAGAGCACCAAGGTTAAGCGAGATGATGGATGCAACAAAATCATTTGTTCCCATTTCTTACCGATCGTTCTGTTCTCCACTTTGAGGCATTTGTGGTATGGAGGTCTTAAAGTTTATATGTAACAAACAAGCTGTCAGTAGCCCCCCAGCTACAGCAGCAGCCTGGCTTTCCTTCACCCAGGCTGGTTATTCTAACACCAAACTTTTAACAGTTGTGGGTTTGGTTGTTTTGGTTTTTTTTTTTTAATTATTTTTTTTTTTCTTTTTGAAGTCGGTTGATGTCTGAAAACCATGTATAACTTTTAGTTTGTGAGAAACTGTATGGTTAATGTAACTTTGTTTAATAACAAAACTGCAGAAACAAAACTGGAATAGCTCTACTTTCTTCATATAGAACTGATCAGCTTTTCCTCTGTTCTGACACTTGTGTTGTTGAGTCTCACGTCAAGCTTCTCCCGGGTGAAGTGGAAAGTGGTGCGGTTTTGTGGCATGACTAGCATTTTTCTCCATGAGAAATGCAGTATTACAGCCCTGGGTGAGAAGTTCACTGTACTCCTAGAACGCTAAGTTAATTCCATAGAGTATTTGGGCAACGACTGAGCGTAGACTTACTTGAATTTTCACTAGCTTGTTGGTTTTTTCCATTAAAAAATAAACACGTTTTTTAAGGGGGTTTAATATAAAATTAGTCTAGAACTATTTCACTTTGTTTTTATGAACATGCCACATTGATAAGCAGCTTTAATCTGTAAAGTTTTTGGTACCTGCAAGAAGATATTCGAAAGCTATGCATTTTAGAGAAAGCATAAAGGTAGTGATATTGGTACTTCTAAGGATCTTTATATTAGTGTATATAAAATAGTTTGCATATACAAATATAATATATAATCTGTTTGAAATATTCTTGAATGGTAGGGGCTGTGAAACATATTATAATTTATGGAAATATTGTACACAGTAAACAGACGTCTCAGTACACGAATGAACTTTTGTCATATGCATGAGAAGTGTCTTATTTGGTGACTACTAATGAATGGGCTTTTGTTAACCCATTTTTGTTAGATAACCACTTTAACAAATATTATTAAATGCCACTTTGATCAGTTTTCTTTAGTGTAAAAATACATATTTTGTTCCACTGAATTTAGAACAATATGAAAATCACTTCTGTAAGAAGATTTGTTCCAAACTCAACGGTGGCAGACAGATCTGGTCATTAAGGGTGGTGCACTCACTCGTCCTCCCCCAGCCTTGCCTTTGGTGAAAGCAAATCAGATTTTTTTCATTAATGCTTTGTATGTGAAGCAGTTGGGTTGTAAAATATCCTGTCATATGCCCCTGCAGAAAGGCTGCATAGCAAGTGTGTTTTGATTAGGCTACAAATCTCCCTCCTTTTCCCAAAGCCATCACCTCCCTGGTAACTGTCTTTGCTGTTCCCGTGTTTTGTTTCTGCCTGTCAAATCTAAGCTGAGCTGTGGTTGCTTCTGTTGTACAATGGAGGGATTTGTGAAGGGTGGGGGATCACAGGCTTCCCTGAAGATGAAGTGCTGGTGGTACTTTGAGAAATACTGAACTGCTTAATTTACATAGCTGGAAAAGCAGAGGCTGCTGCACAGAAACTTAACAGCAGAATTTTGAGTAAAGCATTTCCTCTCAAGACTTTTGAAGAGGCAAACATACACCTTGAAGCCAGGTGAAGTACCTCTCTCTCTTTAAGATGATTTCATTGAAACACTTTCAGCTCCTTCCACCCACATTGAAAGAAAAATTGAAAAGCACGTGGAGAGCATTTATGTAGCATTTGAAATGTGTGAAATTACCTGGAAAGAATTCTGCCTCCTTTCCACTCCTTGTACATACAGGGGAAGCCATTACATTATTTTAGGGTGATTTTATTGTTTTTAATTTGTAAAATTTATGCTTTGTATGCTTGAGTATAAGCTTAACGGCGCTACTTAAAAAAAATCCTTGACTAGATGAGTGTTGTTTGACTTATTTCAAACCTCCTTCTGTCCCAGTTGGTTACAAGCTCATTAAACGGAGTTGGAGCGCGGTCCCTGTGTCGTGTCTTCACGGATACCGGGGCTGCTGCTGTCAGCCACGGCTGAGAGCATCCTTCAGATCCAGCACAGGAAAGGGGATGGAGTCAGGTTTTGCCCTACATCTGCCTCTAGGCTACAGGTTCTGACCTGCACTGTAGATCTCCCTACCCTCAGAAGCCATGCCAGCGTCAGTAATTGTTTGTGCTCTAATCTCCTTACTGAAAAGGGACCAGGAGGGTTTTTTGCTGTGCTGAGCAGTGGTGGCCCCAGCCCTGGTCCTGTCCCCAGCCCTGCTCCTCCTCTCGCTGCTTTGTGTGCTCAGCTGAGCACAGACGGAACACAAAGCTCACGAGCAGCACCCTCAAAACGATTTGTACTTCCCCATGGACACCTCGAGGTGCTACAAACTATTTTCATTCCTTTCTGCTCCCCTCCTGCCTTCGTACAATAAAATTAAGGACAAGGTTGGTCAAACTACTGGTGGGCTGCGTGTTGATGCATTCAGGCACCTTGGATGAGAAAGCCCTGTGTGTTGTGCTTTTCATGGTACATGGGGATTCACTATCCTGCTACCTTATACCCCCTGGATGAATTTTCTTATTTTTCAGTGTATTGTTGTCTAGCGATTTTGCAAAGTTCTATTTAGCAGTAGAAACCCACATGTGTTTTCTTTATTCTGTGGACAAGTTGCTTGAGACTGCCCTTGGTTAGCAGGGAGCTTTCAAGCTGCAGCCGGCCTGTCCTTTCAGGAGACAACAATTGTCCATTATGGAATATGTGAGCCTATTGCTCCTTTCACACCCCTTCAGGATTTGCTCTTGATCTGTGCTTAACTTCATAAAATCTCCAAATAATTGAACCGTTGTGTGGATAAACTACAGTGATAGTAAATGTCAGGTCAAATATTAACCCAATAATCTTTTGTTTGGTTTAATCTTTTGACAGATTAAGCTGAACACAGGAAAAACCAGAGGAGATTATGTTCTTGTGTAAGATTATTTTTATTTTCTGTAGTCAGCACCTGTCTTCTGAGCTGATTCCATTTGCCATTTAATCAGCCCGGTGGGAGGTTTGCTTCCAGCAAATCATACAGCCATAAAAGGAATTATGTCTGTGTTTTTACTTTTAAAATTTATTTATGTGCATGTGATGGATGTTACACTCAAACACTTCTTTCAACTGCAGCTGGTTTTGACAGTGAAAGTAGCTTCTGATTTGAGAGGCAAATTAGTCAAGCTCCTAATTGAAGAGGTGACACTGAGTAGTACAAGGAGAGGAACCAAAGAGTACACAAAGAAAGAAAACTTGTGCTTGACTTCCAAACTGACTACTCACTAAAATTATGATTCAGTGTTGCAGTGTCAGTGTTGGAGATGTTTGCACCCCACAGCTGTGAGACTGAACACAGTATAACTCATACCTGGGTATGAGATAAGTTTTCAGTATTTGTCATTGCTTTACCATGCCCAAGACCTTTTCAATCCTTTTCTGAGTTTATTACGTGAATTTCACTCATGTAGTTCCATCAGTGCTCATCTCCCCTCCTGCCTCGAATTAACTGAACTCCAAACATACACACAATTTTAAGAAAATAAACAAACAACATATTGAACAAGGGTTTACATGTTTGGATGCAATTTACCATGACTTGGCTCCCTCTTCTGGAAACGGGCACAGTAGCAGAGTGAATAAAAATACTTCATAATTTTGTTTCCTGCCCAAATAAAGGGAGGGAAGCCTACAACCAGATAAAGGCTAACCTGTGGTTACCACACGTAGTTCCCCTCAGTAAAAGCTTGTTTTATTTGTTTTCTCTGTCGGTAGCATGTCTGTGTGACCATATGTGACTGCCACAGGCCTCAGAAGTCTCTCTCTTCTGAGTAAGAAATACCAAAGCAAAGGATAAAGTAGGACTTAATGATTTTTGCTTTTTCTGCAACCTCCTTCTCCTGGAGCTGCCTCCGGTGTAAAATCCTTTTACTATTCCACTCTCAAAGGTTCAGCTCAATAATACTGTTCTCCCTCGTGACTTAAATAGCAGACTGCTCATCAGGGACCTGCCAAAGATTCACGTTGGGAGAATAATGTGTAAATTACCTAAATATTAGTCTGCTAAAGGCTTAAGAACAAGCATTTAGAGGTTGCTGGCAGCAGGAGCAGTAGGCGTCTGCCCTGCACCTGCGCGTTTTGGTGCTGCCCAGAAGCTCAAGTACCTTTCCCAAGGGCCATGTACGACCTTGCTCAGGCTGTGCGGCAGCTTCTCCATCCTCTGCCGAGCTGAAGTTTTGCCGTGCCTGCATCCAGGCTGCTATCGGCCACACCATCGCCTGAACGATGTCTTAACAAGGCTCCTCCGCCTGCTCGTTCATGTTCTTGAAATGAGTCACGAGTCCTTTTGTTTTGGACTGAGATAACATCATTTTAATTATTTATGTCCATAAAGGAGCCTGGTTATCTTTTCCAGATACTTACAACAAGGCATCACTTCTATCCAACAGAGTTAGATCAAGCTGTAAGAATACTTACCCCTATTTAATTTTTCCTCAAATTCTTCGGATGGGAATACCATATCTGTTCCAATCCTTTAAAAAACAGAGACTTTTCTGCCGGCAAAACTGCGAAAGCTGTGGGAGCAGGGAGCGGATTCCCCTCCCAGGTATCGGAGGGGCAGGACACACCCTGGACAGTCCCCTCTTTCCCTGCCCTCCACGGGGGCGTCAGTAATTACCGGAGGGGGAGGAAAGGAGCAGATCCCAGCCGTCCGTGGGAGCTGGAGCGGGCGAACATCGCCTGCCCCGGGCCGAGCCCTGCGGGTCCGAGGCTGCCCCGGGATAGGGACTGGGGCTGGCGGGACTTCCCGGAACGAACGGCGGGCGGGGGCGGCGGGAGGCGCTGACACGTGGCCGGCCCGGGGGGGAGGGAGCCCGGCGGCCGCCGCGATGTGAGCCGGGGAGGCGGAAGGCGCTGCCCGCATGGCCGCGGGGGGCGGCGGCAGGAATGTGCCCGTGGGCACCGCCGAGCGCGGCCCCCACGACGGCATGAGGCGCGATGGAGACCCGTACTGGTCCAGGTAAGGCTGGACCCGCTCCCGGGAAAGCCGCTCCCCTGCTTGCGGGGCTCTCCCCGCATCCCGCCGGCCGGTGCCTTCCCGGCCCCGGGACCCGCCGCATCCTCGGTGCCCTCCTCCCACAGCTCCTGGGAAAGATGCGGTTCCTGGATGGAAGGGGTCGCGCGGCGGTTTCGGTGCTCCCCGTCGGGCCGAGACCCTCTCCCCGGCCCCGGCGCTGCCCTCCGGGGGCACCGCAGGACGGGGTCGGGGGACATGGTCCCACCCGCTGTCTCACCCCATCAACCTCCAACAGAGACGGTAGAAGGAAGGGGGGAGATAGGGAATGGCTGTGAAACACGGGGGAAAAACGTCTCTTGAGTTTATTTCTGGCCTGTTGTCAGTGAATCAAACGCGAAACCGCTGTCAAGTTCTTATCAAAGTGTTCCAGCGGGGATGTTTGTACTGGCGATATTCATTCATTAAGATAAAGTCTGGAATAGTAGCTGAGCAGCAGCTAGACAGCTTGAATTGCTCCTTAAGTAAAGTAATTAAAATACCTAAAAATACGATTGAGCCCAAACTGACCACTTTTAACAACAGGGACATGGGCAAACACAGGGTGCTCCAGTGTTTGGAGCAGAAACTGGGACACTTGGGACAGGGCTGCTCCTCTCTGTCACCCTGGGAATGTCATCCAGCACCTCGACCTCAGGATCTGCCCCTTCTCCCACCGAGGGTTGGATGAGATGACGATTCCGAAGTACCAGTGGGGCAGCTGGAAGTGATGGTCAGAGGGTTTTCCAAACCATGAGTCCCTGGACTCCATGTGCTTTTGAAATTTGGCTCAGTTTAACACTGCCACGAAAAGGAACTGTCTTGTGGCTGCCACTGTGGTGGGCACCCCTGGGGCTCCCCTCTGCCCCTCTGGGCTGGTGTGAACCCGTGGGGAACTCCCCTTGGCAGGAGAGCAGAGGGGCAGCCACAGGGCAGGTGGCAGCGGTGCCAATGCACGGGAACATGTGGCCAAAGGGAAGAATTGCCCCTTCCAGCTGCAATTAACCGTTGGATAAATTGGTATTCATCATCAATTGCTTCCCGCAGTGTCAGCAGGTCCATAGCCAGTTTTAATTTGCTGTCCCAAGGGAAACTTTTCCTGCAGTCAGAGACCGGGAAGTCTAATCAAACCCATGCTCATCTCAAGAGTAAGGAGGTGGGTCTCAAGAAGGCCTTTGGCACTTGGGGTGCTTAAAATTTGAAGATTCTTTCCCCCTAAGGCACTTAAAAAAATTCCTTCTCTCTGTCTCCCTCTTGCTAACTTTTCCCTAAGTCTTTGTGAAGTGGGAGTGGTGGGGACCCCACACCAGATTTTTATGAAGCAAAACTTTAGTTTATATGTTTTTTCTCTAGAAAAAAAATAATATATTTGACCAGAACAAGCCCTTCAAATCTCTTCAAAAAATGCAAACCATCGATAACACTTTCCAAACCAAAATGCACTGCTATGAAGACAACCTGTTGATTAAGACATACCTATTTTAAGTGATTCTGACCATCTTAAGTGCTGCTAGTAACTGTGAAAAACCTGTTAATGGGAGGGAGCAGCAGGATATCCCTAAAGCCCATCAGATCATTATCTATATTGCTGTAATTCACAGAAGCTGAGATCATGTCCCCATTGTTTGGTGTAGACACACGTGTGGTCACAGCCCTTAGTTGGGGAGGTTTTATGGAGGTTTTATTGCCTAAGTAAACTGGGCAGGTCGAGTGTGGGACAGAGGGAGCAGAGAGGGGGAGCGATGCACCAGATCACTCAAGCAGGTTGCTCGAGTTCTCTAAAGTACCTCACTGAGTGGTTTGGTGGACAGTTTTGCAACAATTTCCAAGTA